AGTGGCCACTCCAGTCTGGGTGACAGAGTGAGACTCCAACTCAAAAAAAAAAAAAAACAAAAGATTCCTTCCAGCTCTAAGATTCCATGTTTCTCAATACTTAAGTATGTCCAATTTCTCTCCAAGTTCACTAACCCCACTTCAGGCCAGGCCAAGGTTGGACGTTGCAACTGCCTCCATGTGACCTCTTCTTGCAAACTTAGAGTTTGTCATTTCTGTTTAAAATATTTCAGTGGCCTGGGCAGCAAGACCTCATCTCTACAATAAATCAAAAAATCAGCCGGGCATGGTAGCGCGTGCCTGTAATTCCAGCTACTTGGAAGGCTGAGGCAGAAGGATCGCCGGAGCCCAGCAGGTCGAGGCTGCAGTGGCTGGAAGTGGCCACTGCACTCCAGTCTGAGCGACAGAGTGAGACTCCAACTCAAAAAAAAAAAAAAAAATTTCAGTGAGCCGGGCTCTGTGGCTCAGCCTGTAATCCCGCACCTTTGGGAGGCTGAGGTGAGTGGATTGCCTGAGCCTGCGGGTTCGAGACCTGCCTGGGCAACTTGGCGATACCTCATCTCTACAGTAATCAAAAAATTAACTGGGCGTGGCAGCACACACCTGTAATTCCAGCTACTTGGAAGGCTAAGGCGAAAGGATCGCGGGAGCCCAAGCAGGTCGAGGCTGCGGTGGCCGGGAGCATGCCACTGCCCTCCAGCCTGGGCAACAGAGTGAGACTCCAACTCAAAAAATATATATATATATTTCAGTGGGCCATTTTCAGGCCATTGCCTTACTAGTCTCTGGTGTAGCCATGTGCTCTTTGAGTTCTGGCCGAGTCATGTTTCCAGGCTTTGGCCACTTCCCCTACCTTGGGGAGGTGAATCTTATCTTTCTCTCATTCTCTCTCTAATATACTTTCTGAATAAACTATATTTTCTAATCTAAAAAACATTTCAGTGGCATCCTTGTGTTCCTGCAGGTAAGTGTCACACCATGGCTTACCTGACTCTGCCTCAGCCACACTGGCCTTCTCTCTGTTCCTGAAACACATTCCGTTCCTTCCCACTGAACTGCCTTTTGCACACTCTGTTCTCAATGCCTGGATGCTCTTCTCTATCTATCCCCACCCACCTTCCTCGACCCAGCTAACCAATTTATCCCTTAGCTGTCACTCAAATATCATTCCTTCTAGGAAGCCTGGCCTGACCACCCCGCCCCAGACTGAGTCACGTCATCTGCTCAGCACTCTCAATGGCTGCCAGTACTTTTCTTTCAAAGCTCTTATCATAGTTTGAAATGATCGTAAGTACTTTGTGAGGTTATTTATTCAAGGCCAGTCTCCCCACTGTGCTATAAGTTCCAAGAGGGTAGAAATGTGTCTGGATTTTATCACCAATAAATATTTGATGAATCAGTGAGTGAATACGTTGCAAATAAACAATATTATCACACTGTTCAACAAATATTTTCTGTCTATAGGTATAGTTGACCCTGGAGATACAGCAGTGAACAAAGCAAATAAGGACATTGCACTCATGTAGCTTATTTTCTAGAGAGGCGAAGCAGGCAATAAAGACATAAACAAAATGGTGCATGTTTTGAAGGCAATAAAGCAAGTTAATGTGATAAGGTTGAGTCTACTCTAGGGTGATGTCAGGGAAAACTTTCTGAGGAAGTAACTATTCAATGGTAAGCCAACTATGAAAGAACCATGTTAAAAAGGAAGAAGGGGCTGGGCATGGTGGCTCACGCCTATAACCCCAGCACTTTGGGAGGCCAAGGTGAGAGGATTGGCTGAGCCTACAGGTTTGAGACCAGCCTGGGCAACTTGGCGAGACGTCATCTCCACAATAAATCAAAAAATTAGCAGGCGCGGTGGCCTGTACTTGTAGTTAAACTACTTGGAAGGCTGAGGTGGAAGGATTGCCTTTGCCAAGGGGGTTGAAGGTGCGGTGGCCGTGAGCGTGCCACTGCACTCCAGCCTGGGTGACAGATTGAGGCTACAACTCAAAAAAAAAAATGGCAGAAG